CAGTTTATTCGAAAGTTTTTTTTACTTTTTAATACCGCCCCACTCCCCGTCAAAATAAAAACACAATATTTATCGTACGTCTCCAGTATAATATAACCATACATTTTTATTTACATACCACAACGACATGCTTTCGTCGAAATACACGATTTTATATTGTATTGTTGTGTTAGGTCCGCGCCAAATGTTCGACGAACACTGCTGAAGTGCTGACGTATTTGAGGAGGCGATATMCTTTTAGAATGAATCGCGGAAAAAAAGCCCATGGAAAAAAAAACCCATACAAAAGAAATTACCAAGGAAAAAAAGCCCATGGAAAAAACCSACAGAAAAAGAGCCCTCCGAGAAAATTAAAATTAAAAATAAATGTTAATACATTTAATATAATTACTATATAATATTTTTTGTTTTTAATCTAGTTTATACAATCTTTAAATAAAAAAAATGTACAATAAGCATAAATGATGTTTTTTTTAAAATTATTATAATATATATGGTATCTTGAGGGAAGAACCAACCAGCGAAGGCACTTTGGGAAATTATATAATTATATAAATATAAGTATGGAAAATAATAATAAGAGTGTTTATTATTTGTTCAAGTTTAATCTTATATTACAATGGTTTTATACAAGGGGAATGGAATCACAATACASCCAATTATGTTTTATTACACATTTACTGATAATCATACTAGYGAATGAAGTAAGTAAATTGAACTTTGCTTAAACCAGTCAAAATATTAGTTGAATAATAAAATATTATATGATAAAATAACAACTATGTGATTGTATTATGATAGGTATTTGTCATTTGAGTTACTTAATTAACAAAATAATATAAAACACACTTTTATTTTCGTGGGTTTTTTTTAATTTTTGGTTTTTTTTTCCGTGGTCATATTTTCCGCTTACCTTTTAGAATATAAGAATAATAGAGTAGGTGATTAATATTATAGGTTACGGTATACCTACATTTTCCAATGATTATTCACTCTTGATATATTATGTCAAAGGTCAAAAATGTCAAATGGTTTCATATTACCTATATGGAATAAAATCGTACTGATTGACGMCAGTTTTGTTAAGACGAACAAATTGTAAAAAATGATTTTAAAATGAGTGTGGCTCGTTTACAACATTTAACTTCTAGCCATCGATACAGACAAGTATATTTGACGTGTATCTACTTGTGAGCTATTGATTTATTGTGTCGGCGTGTAAAAAGCCAAGCTGATTTTAATGCGCATGATTACATCATGAAGATACAAACTATAATTACTAATAAATCACTGATATGATCACTGGTAATTTTACGTTTATATCAGTAATTAAAACGCCGTTCGGTGTTAAAATTTAATACTAAAGTGTAATTTTTATACCTTTTGGATTTGTCCGGATTATTTTACTAATGATCGSTAGAAAAGATTTTCAAGATGCGATGAAACGATTYAAACAAAAACTATATTCATACACGACTGTATGTATTGTAAATACGATTTGTTATTAAGTCTTTGAAATGTATAAAAACTATTAAATTTCGTTCGTAGTCCCGTCACCTCGAACTATTTGTTAATAATATTTGGCTGTAGATGTAACGCMCTAACGCTGGAAGTAAAATATACACAACATTATACTCAGAAAAAAAATATACATATATATAAGCTTGCATAAACAAGACTCATCTCACTGTATAAAACATATTATGTACATGTACATATTACGTATATACTATAGTATATATTATATAATATATATATATTGTACACACAACCGTTGAACGTGACTATTATCCCTTTGCAGGGACTTTACACGTTATTATGTAATTGGTTTTGCGTTGAGTACTAAAAGGGGGGAGGTGTTTGGGTTTTAACCAGGAAAACCGCTTARGTTAAATTAAAAGTTCTCACTCCTCCTCCTTCTCTTCATACATATTATATTATATACATTATATGCAGCAGTGATTAAATTTGAATAATCTCCGAGTGACAATAAATTCAAAGTTAATGACATTGCAATCGAGTATTGCGCAATGCACATAATTTAAACCACTGTACTTTAGAGCGGGTATTATACATCAAGCAAACGAAAACTAAACGGTAAACAATTGTTGGATGGTCAACTACTGTTATTTGCGTCCAATGGCCACAGTTGCCGCAGACTGTTTTTTTATATATATAAAAAAAAAAAAAATGATTGGATACCGCTTTTCACTGCTTGTTCACAGGTGCCAAGTTTTGTCGTCGTTGTATTACGTAAGGTAAATTATTAACCGATACATTTAAATGTATACAAATTTTACTGATTTTATGAACATTTCACTATTTTATAATTAGTTTTAATTAATATGTTTTATCAGAATGTAATACGCAATGTGGATACTAACCAAAATCCCATATTTACGAAATGCCTTACTCAATGTTAACCATCATGATATTATTTATTYAAATGACACTTATTGGTTAATCATTAATGTTTTTGATGCCAAACTTGGTTTTCATAACTAAAATTAATACATATAATATCGTATTTTAAGTCTTGTAAAAAATAGGGATGATGGTGTATTAATATTATCATTAATATAAAAATGGCTGTTATTAACTGTTCTTGTTGTTATCGGATTCGAACAATTATTTTTAAAGCTTATRGTAAACAATATACAAATTATTTTAGGTTGTGTTTATGCGGCCATGACCAGAGGCTGGAGCGACAATTTCTCCAGACCCGGTAATATTCATAAAAATTCGGGACTACTCATTTTTTTTTTTTTTATAAATAATACAAAATAAGAATTTGATGAATTTATCGGGAAAAATCAACTTCTAACAGTTACTTGACACAGTTAGCAGTAGGTGGTCAAAAATGGGTAGACCCCCAAGGTAATACCCCCGGGACAGGGTTTCTAACAGAGCGTGTCAATATACCTCAAGATAATCTTTCGATTTGTGTTCCATCATTGAATCTATTTACTTTAAATCCCTTGACTATTATTTTGTAATAACTGATAATTTAAATTTAAGTAGTTTTGGCTGGTCTGTTGACCCAAATACTCAAACTCGTAAGTTTGATAAAACCTATTGTTTAATAGCTATACACATAATTTGAATTTAAAACAATGTAATATTATTAAAAATTGTATTATCAGCAGAACACTCGACTGCTTAACGTTTAATGTGAATTCCGAGCTTACTTTTATTTTTTTTCGGTAGACTCTCTGAATCATCCTTAAGACTCGCTTATTTAATTTAAAAATTCCTCATTATTAATAATAATCACAATCGTAATTCACTGTAATTGTTACGAGTCAATGTAATTTTTAACTTGAAAAAAATTTAATTTCAATTATATTTATCGTTTTTTTTTCCAATATTGGTTTTTATCTGAATCTTAACAATTATCTATTTCTTAATGCTTTAGTTGATACTTTTTATCAAATTATTTATCATTCATTCAGATAGTGTGTTCCTAAAACTAAAATACATAGTAATTTACTCCTCTCTGTACGGGCTAATTTGGACCTCGGATACCTTATAGTCATAAATGTTTAGAATTTTTTGATCTTTTATAACAAATAAAGGAAAAACAATTGAATCAAATCTGTAACAATCAATACATTTCCGAAATAAATAAACAAAACCGTCTATTGTTTCAAAATATATAAAGTTGTAATAACTAAAAAATAATCCATAATACAATATACATAAACATGCAATTATTGTTTTTCCTGACTTCTCTCATTTGTAATGATCATCATGACTTCAGGCGTAAGATGTTAATCCCTTCTAATATTCTACTGTACCGATTCTACTGGTCGAAAATACTGCAGCAGCGTTTCCTAAAGTGTGGGTCGTCAGTCAATTTTTGTACAATGAAGAATTTATTCTGAAGCTCACGTATTTAGCTGATATATTTTCGAAACTTAACGAACTAAATTTATATTTACAAGGAACACAAGGAGCCGATATTTTTGCGGTTCATGACAAAATTAAAGGTTTTACGAAAAAACTTACTTTATGGCAAAGCAACATTGAAAAGCAAAATTATGATTGTTTTGAAACATTTCAAACTTTCATAACTGAAAATGATATAAAAGTAGCTGATGACATAATTAGCCATATCAGTTTGCATTTAATTTCGTTGAAAGATAATTTTAATTTTTACTTTCTTGAAGAAATGAAAAAATATGAACAAAATAGCTGGGTTGTGAATCCGTTTCAGAAATCTATATCCACTGGGATATCGACAAAAGCCGACGAAGAACTCATAGATTTATCAGAAAATTCATCTTTAAAACTTCAATTTAGCCGCAATAATGTGATTCAGTTTTGGCTGTCGTCTCAACAAATATTTCCAATTCTTTCAACTGAAGCTATAAAAATACTACTCCCTTTCTCATCTTCATACATGTGTGAAGTTGAATTTTCGGCAATGGTGGGCATCAAAAACAAACATCGAAACAAGCTAAAATTATCGAACTCCTTACGTTTGAAAATAACTAAAATTGACGTCGATGTCATTGCTGTTATTAACCATAATAGAAAACAAGCACACACTTCACATACACCTCATTATTAAAAGTACATTTGTAAAAATATATTAATGTACTATATAAAATTAACCTATAAAATACTAAATACCTAATAAAAATGTATACATATTTATATAATACAAATTTTGTTTTTTATTACCTACTTTTTGAAAAGTGAAACAATGTGGGTCGCGAAAAATTTTTCGGGGGAAATTTGGGTCGCAGTACTAAAAAGATTGAGAAGCACAGCTTTACAGTATTAATCGATCGTGATCAATTATATATTTTAATCTATACTATTGTATACTAAATTATAACTTTCAGAAAGCTTTTTATAAGGTTCGAAATCACCTAGGAAATTATACCTCTAACAGATATTTACATTTGTTAGAGGTATAATGTTTATTTATGACTTGTTGAATGGTCACATTTTTTCTTCATAATGTTATTGTTTTCTTATTTTTATGATCAAGTTTAATATAACTGATCACTGTTTAAGGAAATCAAACTTGATTCATGTTCCATTTTATAAAAACAATAATAGTTCCACTTCTTTCTACCCTAATAGAGCATTAACATTAGCAAAAATTATATTATGAATCATGTAGACTTTTTCTTGATGTGACGTATTGTTTCTAATCGAAATGTGAATTTATTTAGCTTTAAACTCAATTCTATTATTATTATTATTATGTTATTTTTGGTTTATCTATTGTCTTATTGTTACTTTTATTATTAAATTTAGTCTTAATATTTTCATTATTAATTTGTCGCAAATGTACCTAGTTTAATTAATGTTAACAGTAATAATTACCCATTTAAATAATTGAATCCTAATCCCTACTTTCCTACTTTCCGTTTTTACAAAAGAGTCATAACCCGTTTATTATACATAAATTATATATAAAATATATATTTAGTATAATATATTTATTCTTTTTGACGAATATTTGTAGATATATAAACATCTGGCAAGTAATTATTCTTTTAACATTTCAGTTAAGCCATGATATTTTTTTAATACATTTATGAATTTCTAAATGACTGATTTCGTACAATTTATCAGTGCTAAAAATGAATTATGCCACCCCCTTCATTGTTGTTGGCCATGATGGGTAGATGATTTTTAAAATGACTAAAACAGTTTCAGACTTCTATCGAAAATAATAAAGGACGGCGTCTACACTCCTTGAATTCAAAATTTTAATCCACTTTACCTCGAAAAAATATTATAATATTACCT